ATAAATTTTTACTATACAAAGTAATATTTAGGGCCGGCCAAATAGCTCAGTGGACTAAAGGGCCTGCTCAGGCCAACGCAGAGGCTGGGGTTCAGTCCCCAGCGTGCTGTACCGGCCTCCGCCCCGCCCCCCACCCCCTGCACTGAGAAGCCTGCAAACTGAGAATCACTGAGTCTGATCTACATAATGAGGCCCTGTAGGCCCTGTACTAAGATACCAAAAAAACCCACTAAAATAGCAGTATTTGCACATACATGTATTCCTTTAGTTTTCAATGTGCAAATACTGCTTCTTAACCTAAATATTTATAAAGGCGAATGTAATTAGACCGTCCCTCTGCTGCCAGCTTCTCCACAGCTACGCCCGGAGCAGCAGCGCCCACGCCACAGCAGCGCAGGTCGCCGGGGCCTGCGGGCTGCAGCCCAGTCCCAGCGCTCGCCACGCGGCCGCCCCCAGCCGCGCCTTGTCCGCGAACTGGGCCAGCGTCAGCCGCTTGCCTTAGTTTCTCCTCCTATGCTGTTTTTGTTAATCTTTCGTGTTTTCTCAGCGCAAGAGGGTTTTCTGTACTGGAATTGATTAAAACGAACAAGAAACTTACGGAGAATTATACAGCCAAGTATGGCCCGGAATACTACCATTTTAATCACAAAGTCTGCATTATAACAGTTTGATGAAAAACAAATTAGACTGGTTACCAGTCCCAAATTCCAAATTCTATTCCTAGATTTAATTTTAACTTTAACAGTAAGCATTGCGTTGAGCAGCAATGGTATTCCACCTAAAATTGAATCACCCTAACCATTTTATATCAATGTCTTTTAAGGCTTTTACAAAACAAGAATTGTTTCACAGGTTCTGTTTTGGCTTTACCTCTATAGCGAGTAGCTCAAAGATGCCAAGACAAACATTTATCTGGGAAGAAAAATGAGCAGCCTATGTTATCTTCTCTATATTGTATGATTTTGAATATAAAAATTGCACTATACAGACTTCTGAAAAAATATATATATATACATATAATGTATTTGGTACAGGGTCTACAGGGTCTCACTACACAGATCAGACTCGTAGTGATCCTCCTGTGTTCGGCCTCCCAAGTGCTGGGATTATGGGCGCACGACACCACACCCAGGCTCAGTCGATTTCTCAGCATATCCCAGAGGCAGGGCTGGCACAGCACACCAGGGATCGAACCCCGTCCCTATGTCTGCCTAGGCAGGCTCTTTAATCTGCTGAGCTACCTGGCCGGTCGATATTTATATAAATGTATAAACACACAGCCTCTTCAAAATGTAAATCACTCCATGGGCTCTCTCATACACCGTCTCACCTTGGACATGCACTGGGCGCACGGATGCTTGTATTTTAGGGCTCTTCGCCCTGCCCTTTCCCGGCGAAAGGCTGCGCGGCGATGACTGGCCGGAGGAGGACCGCGGGGTCCCAAAGTCCGACGAGTAGTAGCAGGAGTGCCGTCTGCCCGCCTTACTTTCTTCGTCGCTGTCTGCGCTTCCTGCTCTTTCCCCCATTATCCTGGGAACGTACCTCTGGTCACATTTCACAGATTCACGACAACACTGAAGAGCATTCGCCTAGTCTTCATGTGCTGGCGATCATGTCTATTTCTGCACAATTTATTTCTCCAGAAAAGGTTTGCGTCCACAACTCATACCAACACCGGAAAAGCCACTTCACTGCCTATAATCAAGGAAGGGGGCGGTTCATTATATAACCACGAAACAAAACTCACCAATTAAAAATACCAAAAGCTGGACCGGTGAGATAGCTCAGCGGACTAAGCGCCTGCTTAGCAAAGCGAGGGGACCCAGGTTTGATACCCAGCAGGGTGCTGGCTCTGGCCCTGTAATCCCAGCCACGCCTATAATCCCAGGCACGCCTATAAACCAGGCGCTGGGGAGGCTAAGACAGGAGGAGCACCATGAGTCTGAGCTACATGGTGAGAATCTGTACCAAACACATTTAAAAAATAAAAATAAATAAATATACTAAATGCAAAATAATATACTGCTTAAATTTTTAAGAGGCTATAGTTTAGCTGTATTTTTACACGTGTTTTTTATAATACAGGAGAAAACACCTACTCTGGCCTGCCATTTATAGGATGACCTCTGAAGGACCCGCCAGGTAACTGGTTCACGATGTTCATTAACCTTGATTCCCTTGAATCTTAAGAATCCTAATACACACAAGTGCCAGACTTTAAGAGGATGATACAAATCAAATTGCCAGGTTTTTCCGTTTTGGTGGCAGAAGGTGTGGTGATGGTGACAAGAAAGACTTTCTTTTAAAAAATGACTTTCTGGTAAGATCAAAATAAAAAATACATCTGACAGATTACAAAAATGTAAAGTTAAAGTATATTTAAAAATTAAATTCAAGAAAAAAATGTTAAAAGACATTTGCAAACATGATGGAAAAATAATTATCACCACTAACAAATACTTCATACCACCACCCCCCACCCCCCCGAGAAAAATATGAAGTGAACACTTCAATACCCACTAAGACCTGAAAACGGCGTATCCATGGCAGACCCGGGCAGCATTCAACCTTGGGGACTCGTGGGCGCTACCACGTCACCAGCAAGAAAGCTAGGGGTCGCCAGTGGTGCAGGGCTAGAGTGCTCCAGAGCTGAGGGACAGAGTTCTGCAGCCAGGGGGACAGCCCCTTATCGAGAGAAAGAGAGGAGAGAGAGGGGAGAGAGGAGAGAGGAGAGAGGGAGAGGAGGGGGGGAGAGAGGAGGGAGGGAGGGAGGGGTCTGAGATAAAATGTACAGACATATTTAGATCTACAAATGCATAGGCAATGTTGAAAAAAAAAAATAGTCCGCTTTGTAGATGCTAGGGGACCAACTCATTAATCTGAAACTGAATACACAGAGGAAAAACCCAGGTGTGTTTCTTTTCCTTTTTTTTTTTTTTTTTTTTTTTTGTGGTACTGGGAATTGAACTCAGGACCTTGCCCTTGCTGGGCAGGCACGCATGCCATTGAGCTATCTCCCCAACCTCTATCTTAACCATACTGCCACAAGCTCTATCAACAAAATGGAGATGGAGGCATATATTTCTTTATAAAACTATTTTAGGTAGTACATGAAAAAAGAAATATTAAAATGGAGAATTGGAAGATTGGCTTGAAAACCCCAGTGAAATAACGGCGCTCCACACTGCTCCTGAATGGTGGAGGCACCACAGCCAGGTCCTGCCGGGCTCCCAGGAAATCCAAGTCCCATTGAGCCTCTCGCCATCAGTGACTGCAGACCCCACGCAGGACAGAGGTCCAAGGTAGGGGCACTCCCGGCACAGTGCAGACTGGGGCCGGCTCCAGAGGAGCGCTGCTTCAGCAAGCACAGCCTAAGTGACGCAGAAGAGGAGGCGGGTGTCTGGATAGTACGGCATCTCAGCAAGACGAACTGCTGGTAAGACCTTATCTCAATTCTGATTCAAACAAACTGTGTAAAAGAAACAAAAAATGTAAGCCATGACTAGATATTTTATATTGATGAATTAGTACTGCTTATGCAAGACAATAATGTGCAGTTTACTTTCTGTTAAGAATAATTATCTGGCAGGCACATTTGCTCAACTACAGATAAATTAAATAATGCCCGAGTTTGTTTGTTTTTTCAAAGTAACCCAGAATAACTAAGGTAAAAGGACAGTGATGAAAGCAGACAGACCAGGGCCTGGGAGATAGCTCAGCAGCTTACGCGCCTGTCTGGCAAGCGCAAAGCCCCGAGTCCAATGCCGGGTACTGCAGAAGACAGACTGTGCACTGACAACCGTGCGGGCTGGGCAATGACTAAGGGTGTCGTGATCCTGGGAGATCCCACACTGAGCTGACACTTTCCTCAGTGAACAAGACTTTTTTAGATGTGCATGCTGGCACATCCCAGCAGTCCCAGCTCCAGGACGCGGAGGCAGGGATCTCATAAATTCAAGGCCAGCCTGAGCAACTTAATGTTTTAGTGACACTCTCAAAAAATTAAGATAGAGAGAGAGAGAGAGAGAGAGAGAGAGAGAGAGAGAGAGACAGAAAGACAGAGATAGATAGATAGATATTGTAGGGATGTAACAAAGCACTAGGTTTGATCTCCAGTACCCAAAAAAAATTTTAAAGGTTAAAATTGCACATGCTGACACTTCTGCTACTGAGCTCTATGCCAGTCCAAACTCAGAACCCTACTCTTAACTCCTAACGGATGTTCAGCAATCTATTAAAATTTGCTATGTGAAATCGGCAATTCTAATGGCAAGTAGAATATTTTAAATACCATACTAATATTTTAAAAGTAAACATAAATCAGCCTGAATCTTCCACTGTAATCATAAAAGAAAATACACTAACTAGGTAAATCTGAAGTGTACCTAACCTGGAAATCTAATTTTCCTTAATGTATTTGTTACAGGGTCTCACTATGCAGCTCAGACATGTAGTGATCCTCCTGCCTCAGCCTCCTCAGCACTGGGATTATAGGGTGGGCCACCATGCCCGGTCTCAGTGGCCTGCTCAGTGTGCCCGGGGAGCAGGGCTAGCATAGCATGTGGTGCTGGGGATCGAACCTGGCCCCTGTGCTTGCCTACGTAGGTGCTTAGTCCACTGAGCTATCTCACCAGCCCAGAAATCTAAATCTTAACCTCCCTTTTTAATCTGTGAAGAGGACTATCAACACCTTAGGGAATCACTTTGAGGACTGCGTGGGACAACTCACTAACTACCACGCAATTAAGTACCTAGTACACAACAATTACAACCTGAACACTACACGCTCAGTGGACTCTGACACTCCTTGTAAAGGCCTTTCCGTTTGAATGCTAGTAATGTGGTTCAAGGTGATTACATGATAAAGACAAAGACTCCTTCTGGTTAGATTCGCGTAACAGAAATAACTTCCTGTGGATACCAATCTCCTTATGATGGCAAAGGGGAAGAACCACCCAGCAGCACAGTCTGTATGCCCAAATACATCTCCAGTGAAATAAAACAAAAACGCCGGGCCGGGGAGATGGCTCAGTACAATGAGCGCTTCCCTGGCAAGCACAAGGGCCTCAGTTCAGTCCCCAGTTCCACAAAAAGAAAAAAAAAAAACCTACTGTGCCACTCACCACCGCACCCCCACGTCCTGGCCTACAGGACAAGCATGTTAGTGGCACACACCTTTATGCTCACGGCAATTCCCCTTCGCCCACGACTTTGCTTTGCACTGTCTCACTTACTCGTGGTCGACTGGACCTGAACATACTAACTGAAAGGTTCCAGAGATACGCAGTCCTAAGTTCTAATTCACACGTGGTGCTGGGCACTGTGGGACACCCCACCCCACTGTGTCCCACCAGGGATGTGAGTCGTCCCCGGTCCAGCAAGTTCATGCAGCGTGTGTCTACTACCCGCCCATCGGTCACTTAGCAGCACCTTGGTCACCAGACCAACTGTCGCAGGGTCCTAGTGCTTAGGGTCGAGTCACCTGTACTGTCATGTAACAGTGGCTCCATAATACAAGCATAAAGAGGAAGAAATCTGGGCATGTCAAAAAGGACTCATTCTTCCTTAAGGAAAAAAGAAAAAACTGTACCCTAAGACCTACAGTGCAAGAGATTTAAGGATCCCAGCTAGGTAACTTTTATTTTCGTAGGTTCTGAGTTCTACCCTAAGCCCTTCACTCACAGAACTGAGTTCACTGCCCCATGATCTTTCAAAGCTTCCGTGTTGCTTGAGAGATATTTGCATTTTTTAAAATTATAAAGTTTTTGAGCTCTACACACCAGTAACAAAGTCCCCTGTCTTTGCAGCACTTTCACTCTAATTATGGCCATCTGATTTTCATCTCGTCACAGGTTTCTCTTTTCCTCCTCTTGAGGTATTGAGGACCTTTTTGTTCTACTAAAATTTCACAACAGTATGAATACATGTGTGTGTTTGATTTTTGTTGTCTTGGGCCTTTCCTTTTTTGCATGGGGTTACCGGGCAACTCAAGACCTCGCGCTCGCCAGCCAGGCGCTGTGCTGCCGAGCTGACCCCGGCACCTTCTTGCCTAAGGTCAATCCTCAACCGAAAATTATTTCAAAGAAAATTAGCATGTAAGTAAGACTAAGATAAACAGAAAACACTGACACTATATGAAACTCAGATAACTGCAATCATTTTAACCTGGAAACACATTTTTAAGCGCTGGAGCTTTTCTTTTATTACTTTTCTGCTAATTGACCTCCATCCTCTTTTGGAAACTTCTGCGGTTAAATAACAGATTTGCTGCCTTTCTGTTCCGTTTTCAGAGCTTTGACTTGCTCTCTAAGCAATCAGCTTTTAAAGGCTGTGTCAACATCTTAATTTCCAGGAACTCTTCTCTGAGTTTTACACTATTGTTCTTACCTTACTGTGGCAACATACATTCAAAACTCTGACAATATTAAAAGTACATTTTCTGTTTAAGGTTCCTTCCAACCCAAGAATCTGTTTCATGGGCTCACTGTTACCATAAGTTTTTTTCTGTTATCTTATATGCTAATTTTCTTTAAAATAACTTTTGGTTGGGTACTGATCTTAAGAAAGAAAAATGAGGCCATGCCTGGTGGCACACACCTGCAAGCCCAGCACCTGGGAGGCCCAGGCAGGAGGACTGCCGTGAGTCCCAGGCCAGCCTGAACTACACATTGAGACTCCTCTCCAACAAAAC